AGTACTTGTAATGCGAGAAGATGACGTGGGCGCCGACGTCGAACAGGAAACCCTCGGGGGTGACATCGGTCGAGGCGAGACCGCCTGGGTGACGGAGGAAAGCGAGAGAATCAATCCGACCAGATTAATTTTTTTTTTTTTAAACCGGAGGGAGAGGAATATTTAAGAAAATGAGGCGGAGCAAAAATTGAATCACGAACGATGATGCCCTAATGAGAACTGCACTAACACTGATTCGTCCTGAGTGCGGTTAACAGTAATAATTTTCTAGGCATTCCGTTTTGTCAACAAGTTGGGCAAGCCCAGTCCAGTAGTGGGTCTTCTTACAGCTAAAGAAACCCTCATTTTGTCAACTAATAGAACAAAATATCTCTTTCCACTTTCCGACCATCAAAATCCCCATTTCTCATTTATATTTGTTAAAGACAGAGAAACGGTGCCCATGAAACGATGATGGGAGGATGGAGGGCTGTGGAGGGACAAACGGACACACGGACACACGGACACAGAAATACGGATGGACAGGACGGGACTATATGTAGTCTCTTTCCTTTCCGGAAAGGAGGTACGAAAAAACGGAATATGGCTAGATGGCGAAAGGAATAATGGAAGGGAAGTGAAACTGAAATAGAAGAGCTGGTAAAACCAAGAAACTGGCGCATAAAATGATGGAACATGAATTAATAGTGACATTATGGAAGTCAAGAATAGATCGTTGTCATTAGCAGCCCTGGGGACTAATGAACGTAATGACAACCCACAGGGAACAAAGTTAGGGTTCACGGACATGCATGACAGACGCAGAGAGCACATAACCATAGAATAATGGATGAGCAAATATGGGAAATATTATGAGGATATCTTTCGCCCTAACTGGCACGGAACACAACCGCACCCAAAAAAACCGAAAAAACGTACCAGCTTCGGAGAAGGCGTCAACGACGAGCCAGGACTTGCACCCGACATGCTGCAGGCGCTTGGCCGCACCGAGACCGGTCGGACCAGCGCCGATGATCAGAATATCCACTTCGTAGGCGGACATGGCTCAAGGCGGGAACGGCAGGAGTTTCGAAATTCGGCGGCTCTTGAGAATCCACCGGGAAAGGAATGGGTCGAAGGATTTCCGGTCTTGAGCTCGGTTTAAACTTGCTTGACTGGGGGATAGGTAGGCAAATCTCCAAATAAAAACCAATATTAATCCGGTGATGGAAATTCTCCTAATCTTGTTCAAAGCCATCCCCATAGCATTTATCCGATATTCAAATGTGGCCTTATTGCACCTCCGCTTCCTTGAATTGCGTTTTTCAATCGACCTGGTTGCCATTGGGATTGTTTCATTCTCACTTTGAAGCTGGCAAGAGAACGGTTTCTTCCTCACTGCAAAAAAATAACGTCTTTGCCACAGAGGAACCGATGCCCAAGGTTGACCTCATTGCCCTTCCGCAGTTTAGATCTGGACTGAAAAACTGGGGTCTGGTCGTTCTCCAATAGGTTCTTCTCGTCGACGTATGCATTTGGAAACGTCTATGGTGTCAGTCGCACGACCTCTCACGAGCTTGCACACAATATCTTTGGGAACCTGGTCATCATACAATGGTGGGACATGATCAGCCAATTCCCTGAATGCAAATTTTCAGCGAGTTCCGCTACATAGCCTTAAAAAGAGACCCGTCCTTCTAAATTGAAAACCCCCCAGTTTAAAAGGGGGAAGATTTTCAGTTCGACTGAGATGCGGATCGGCTCGGTATGACGCAATTCTTATTGAGCAAATTTCGACCTTATTACATGGAAATGGGAAGATCGTTTGAACTTTCGATTCAAGAACGGCTTATTTCGTCGAGTATGCTATGCTACAAGCGGTTAATAGCATACCACCTTACAGTATACGACTCCCCACTGGAAGGTTTCATGAATAAAACCTTCCATTGCATCACAAAATTTCTTTGGAATGTATCAGGTCATTCTGGTAATAAAATACAAATATTTTAATTTTTTTTCCCAGCTCCCGTTTGTGCAGGTTTTTTTTAAAGTTTTATATATTTGTAAGTCAAGTGCTACGAATGATACAATATAAAATAAGAATGTTATTTCAGCAACAGTTGTGATTTCGCATTTCCCTAAATGTTTTTTACTATTCACATTCCCAAGAGAAATAATTCCAGAAGCACATGCTTCCATGGTCTCCATAGGCTTATATTGATTTATTGAACGCACAGAAATAAAAAAATTGAACCTTCTTCCCATGGTAGAGAAACACAGCAGATGTGGAACTGCAAAATGCTTAATGGTCATTCTGCTAATTTATGCCTAATTAAAGTAACCCAACACTTTAAACAATAAAATCTTATTTTTCAATCAGATAACACTGTTTTTTTTTTCGCTGACATAGTTCTGCTCAAACCTGCAAAATGGTAACACTTCTAGTTCCGATTGCAATTACTTATACCGCGGAAGAGCAAGCAAATGGTATTCACAGTCTCCTTTCTGGGAGCATTTAAACAACCCGGAACCAGGATATTTGACAAGTATTCTTGATGAGAAATATTGGGTTGTTATAGAGCCAAGCGTTTTATCAATTTTTCATTCACTTCTTCTTCCAAGCACTCAGTATGGATGACGTCATTTAATACAAAATTTATAGTGGTGCAACCGACTTCTTGATGCTTCATGGCAGGTGGCTGAGATGCAATGGGATCGGGCGAAACAAAAGTCACAAAAACGCCAGCATGACGCAAGTACTTTGAAGTCCAGGTCTGGCTTCAGAGATGATGGGTCAAGGAACGTTCTTCGTTGGAGCGGGAATTCACAACGTTCGGGTTTTCCAAGGTCAATTCGGGTGAGCCGAAAAGGACATTATCGACACATTCCACCCCCAACATGAACGAGTGATCCTGGTTTCCGACTTCGTACTTCCAGGATCCAAAGCGACCGCGCGACCAGATGTCGAGGGCTCGCAACTTGGGCAAGAGTTCCTTCAACGCCCCGTCCCGCTCGAGGGAGGGCGTGGGGTAACCGTGATGGAACCGACGGTGGTAAATCGACACGATTTCGTCGTCGGGCGCCAGTAGCGTCGTGTCGATCGCGCCTTGGATGGTCTCGGATACGACGGTGTCGAGGTCGACGGGTTTGTGCGAGGATTCGGACACTTCGAATATGAGCGACCAGTAGGGTCCTTCATTTTCCGTGGCGGTATCTGTCGGCTTCCCATCGGCGCGTCGCAGGGTTCTCAGCCTCACGCTGTCGGCAGGTTTATTGTGCGGGGAGAAATTGGAGAAGATCGTGGCACGGTAGAAGGGCGAGTCGTCTTCGGGGAAGTAGAGCCAGCATTCCTTGTCGGTGCGGTCCTGGTGACTCCCGCGGATCCCGATCCCGACGACGTTGGTGGACGAGAAAGACAGAGACCTGCTCGACTCGATCAAATCCGGATCGCCGATGGCGGCGACCAGCTCGTCGACAGGCATCGTCGAAACGAGCACCTTGTACTTCACGGTCGACCCGTCCCCGAGGACCACCCGCTTCCTCCCGGCGTCGATCCCGACCACCTCCGCGTCGAACCGGAACCTCTCCCCCGGGATCGTCCTGGCCACGGCCTTCCAGATGCCTCCCGTTCCTCCGCGGGCGGGGAACCGGAACTTCGCGTTCGGACCCCAATTCCCGGCGATTTTATTTTCCACCACGTTGGAGCTGACCAACTTGAGGTCAGGGGCGGCAACGCGTTCACCCAGCCATTCGCTAAATGATCGACAAAATTCCCCAATTCATCAGGAATATTCCAAGAGAAGTACCAAGAAAGTAGAAGAATGACAAGAACGAAATGCATACCATTGCATATGAGTGGTGGGGACCGCCCAGACTTTGAAATTGTAAGGCCGCATGAACAAATCAGCGATACCCTCACCTACGCAAAATCAGAGAAAGCGAAAACAGCGGATAATATTACACGTTAGACCCGAGGACTCATTCAAACTTCGAGCTAAAGGTATAGCGTGCGCGATCTTGACCGCTAGCCATGCCAAGCGACGATCGTGATTGCGTTTGACAGCTCTGCAGGCCAAACGCTTCGAGATATGAACTGGGAGTTTCACACTGGGAGAAATGCACATGGACGAGCTGCTCTTGGGCGCTCGTTTAACATGCGATTTCATCAACAAACCATACATTTCAAGGATATTCTTCGAAGTCATAGAAACGTTTTTCTGGAAGCGCTTCTAAGGTACCAACTTGACAGTGGCTTGAACCAAAGATTCGTCACCACGGAAGCCAGATGGCTTCAAAAAGTCTCTGTGAGGGGCCAATTCCCGATACAGCTGGAATTCGTCCCCAAAAACTTCCCACGCACCAGCTGATTTATTTCCTCACGCACACCCGACGGGGCGAAATTGGAATTCTCAGGTGATTCGGTCTCAGGCGATCCCCCAGGCCTAAATTAGGGAAAACGTTCCTTTTTCATGAAATTTTTAGATTTCTTACACTTTCAACAAAAAAAAAATTCGGCAATGGGAATGCACGTAACGAGTCCAGCTTCTGGGTGTCTATCATGCTCTAAGAAGGTACTCGGAATGTATTTTTATTTTGTTTTAATGTAGTTTCAAAAACCTGTCATGCGTGCTTAAACTTCGAAATTTCGCCATATTTCGTCAAGTTTGACCTCTAATAACTTTTATTCGATTCCACATCCATGCATGCTTCTTCCACAGAATTTTAGACCGTTTGAAGGTCTTTCGAGTCATTTAGTATCATCATACTTTTCCGAAAGAACGAACGCTGAAAATTTTTTTTTAATTTGTCATCTCGAGCAGGATTTCCTATCGAGCACCTTACCCCACCTGGATCAAGTTTCAGGCGGTGGGAAACATATTATATTTATTTTGTGGATTGGGCACGACTTGAGAAGCAACTAGGCGCATTTTGAAAACGTTACGCTATTTAATATTTTATTGAAGTTATAACCATTTCAAATACGGGTTTATCATAAAATCACCACCCAATATTGATTAGCTATACCTTCTCAAGGGACGGTCAGATTCAGCTGATATATGGCAGAGAGATTAATGAGTCAAGGAGGTTTTTTTCGTCCTGTAACATGGCGCTTCATGCTGATAGAGGCCGCTGATGTCGACCGAAGCGCCACCTATTTATTTGGTATGTCATTTTTTGAGCATCAGGTAAAGACCGTTCAGGCCCATGAAACTCTCTGCCAAACATCAGCTGCATCCGGGAGTCCTTTCAAAAGATATGGTCAAGCAAAGTTGGATGATGACTTGATCAAATTTTGTTTGGTCATGTTCATGGGTACACAACTTATTCATTCCCTTGCATGGCACATGTTTGTACATATTGACAGGGGATGCTGTGGTTGCATATATGAAAGTGATATGTGAAAGAACATTAGGGCCCTGATTTCAGAGTTTCCAGTTTTGTAACACGTAATAACATCATATCAACGTGAGACGCTGTTGCACTGAGTTTCACCATCATTTGCATGGAGCGGTGGGAGTGCTAGACATATTCCTTTTTTTTACGCAATTCCTATTTTCCATCTCTTACCTTTGTCCGTACCGTATCCATTTACCATGTTCACAGGCGGCACAACAGCGCCACCTGTGAACATATACAATCGATTGCCAGGCAAGAGAACGAATAAGTCATAGACCCATGAGCATCTTTGTCGAACATCAGCTGCATCTTATTATTCCGTAAAAAGTTATGACCAAACGCGATTTTATTGTTATAAGTCGCCTTCGAAATTCGCTTGAAATCTTTTTAAATGACTCTCGGATGCAGCTTAAATTTGGCAGAGATTCATGGGCCTGAACGGTCTTTTCTCAAGTTAAAAAATTACATAACAAGTAAATTGGTGGCGCTGCTGTCCACATCCGCAACCTCTATGGTCATGCAGCGCCATCTCGCAGGATGAGAAAAAAACCTCCTCCAATCATAACTCCTATGAAAAGGGGAACCCAGTGCAAGGCGTGTGCGACTCTTGCAGACGAGAGAGCCGCAGTTGCGACGTGAAGGTTCTGCCACGCACTTCCCAACCGGACTAACCTCTGAACGATGGAGGTAGTGCTTCGACTAGACTAATTGGCTACACAATATGTTGATGTATTTTCATTTGTAGTTGTAATGGATATGGCAGTTCTGAAATGCTTTCTGCAGTTCAAAATTCTTGGCAAGAATTTAAGGAAAACCAACATTTTAAATAGAAAAAGTAGCTGAATCTAAATTATCTTCCCAAATTTTCGCACTCTGCGTGGGTGGGGGGGGGGTCGTATCCAAGAAGTCAATAGCCTGTTGGATGAGTCCCAAGAAAATTTGTTCATTTATCCCTTTTTTGGTCATAACCTATTCACGTCTTTGATAAATTCATGGAACATATGCATAAGTGGAACTGTTTTGAACTGTTCTAAGTTTCGGATAGTTATACAGACAGTAGAACGTTGCCTGATGTTCTGGAAACGTTTGTCAAAAGCATTAAATAAAACGTTACTCGAACATACATTAAACGTTCGGGTGCTACTCGGGTAGTAGTATCTGAATACCAGGGCGACTCCTTCCACAACGACAGAGCATTCCTCCGGTTAGCAGCAGGTTTTCCTGCCACTAGTCACGAGAGGCACACATTTACTATCGTTCAGAAGGAGCCATGGCGAAAATGAGAATCAAGAGTCGGCCATAACGTACCCATCATGCCGACAATCCACTCGTCAAAATTCTTGGGCTTCGAACGGGCGTCTCGGCTAAGGTCCGTGCGCAGCTAGTAAGGGGGCTCCGTCTGGCAAACGAAGAGGAAGCCCTCTCGGCTCTACAACAAGACTATCCCCATGCCGTGGGTGGCGACCGTGCTGGCGTGCATGGACACTCGCAGGTGGGAGTACCAGTCGTCTGGGTCGGGCAGAGCCTCGTCGAGCACCTCGTCGATCATGAACATTACGCTCTTCTACTGCACCCGCGGCTGCAGCTTGTCCTTTGGGAGCCCCCACTGTAGCCAGCTCCGCTCTGGCGGACCCACTGCCTCCTTTCGCTCTCTTAGTTAGGCTGGTCTAATTTTTCTTTGGGAAAAAAAACCGGAGGGAGAGGGATATTTAAGGAAATGAGGCGGAGCAATAATTGAATCACGAACGATGGTGCCCTGAGAACAGAAATGAGAACCGAACTGATGCTGATTCGTCCTGAGTGCGGTTAATAGTAATAATTTTCGAGGCATTCCGTTTAGCTAACAAGTTGGGCAAGCCCAGTCCAATAGTGGGCCTTTTCTTTCAGCTAAAGAAACCCTCATTTTCTCAACTAATTGAACAAAATATATATTTCTGGTCTCCGACCATCAAAATCCCCATTTCTCATTTATATTTGGTAAAAATAGAGAAACGGTGCCCATGAAACGATGATGGGAGGATGGAGGGCTGCGCGTCGTTGTATCCATCCGCCACGAAGGCTGGTAAGGAACTGACGGCTCCGGATGCTGACACGGCGCCGCGTTCAAAGCCTGAGTCATACCCGCCTGCGGATTGTGATCAACATCCTGAAGGGCTCGAGGCTTATGGCTTCCCCTCCGTTAGCAAAATTCAAATCCAAATTTTTGCAATAAGCATGCCAATTTTGATGGGAATTCACTGCAAAACGAACTCAGTCTGTATATAGTTCATTTCTATCTATACTCACATATTTTCGCATTGATCAGACCAACATATTTTTAGTTTTCGTCGGACAACCAAAGTGTGACACACGGACACCCGGACAGACGGACACACGGACACACGGACACACGGACACACGGACACACGGACACACGGACACCCGGACAGACGGACACACGGACACACGGACACACGGACAGATGGACACACGTACAGATGGGCACACGGACATACGGATGGACAGGACGGGACTATAAGTGGTCTCTTTCCTTTCAGGAAAGGAGGCCCACTAAAAACAGAATCAGGCTAGATGGCGAAAGGAATAATGAAATGGAAGTGAAACTGAAATAGAAGAGGTGGGAAAGCCGAGAAACTGAATGGCGCACAAAATGATGGAGTTGGAACATGAATTAATTAACATTATGGAAGTCAAGAATAGATCGTAGTCATTAGCAGCGATCGGGACTAATGAACGTAATGACAACCCACAGGGAGCAAAGTAAGGGTACACGGACATGCATGCCAGACGCAGAGAGCACATAACCAGAGCAGAATGGATGAGCAAATATGGGAAATACTAGGAGGATATCTTTCGCCATAACTGGCACGGAACAAGACCACACACGAAGAAAAACGTACCAGCTTCGGAGAAGGCGTCAACGACGAGCCAGGACTTGCACCCGACATGCTGCAGGCGCTTGGCCGCACCGAGACCCGTCGGACCAGCGCCGATGATCAGAATATCCACTTCGTCGGCGGACATGGCTCGGGCGGGAACGGCAAGAGTTTGGAAACTCGTGAGAAGTGCGGTAGCTCTTAAGAATCCACCTGCGAGGAAAGGAATAGCGAAGTTCGACGGATTTCCAGTGTTCAGTTCGGTTTAAACTTGCACGAAAGACTAGGTGGACAGGTAGCCATAGTTCATGTCTCCAAAGAAACCAATATTAATCTGGTGATGGAAATTCTCCTAATCTTGTTCAAAGCTATCGCCATAGCATTTATCAAAAATTCAAATGTGACCTAATTGCACCTCCGCTTCTTTAAATTGCGTTTCTCAATTGACCTGGTTGCCGTTGCGATTATTTCATAATCACTTTGAA